CAAAATTTCTCTGAGTATAATCTGTCAGAAAAAAAATACAATGCTCTTTTCTACTCTGTTTTGGAGTACATACACCAACGCAATATGCTCTCTCATGTAAAATACCGAAATCCTAATTTTCCGCGAATAGAAAAAAATCTAAATATTATCTAGGTACCCCAATGTTAAAAGCAAAATTGCTCTGAGAATAATCTGTCAGAAAAAATATACAGTGCCCTTTTCTACTCTGTTTTGGAGTATATACACCAACGCAATATGCTCTCTCATGTAAAATACCTAAATTCTAATTTTACGCAAATAGAAAAAAAATCTAAAAATTAATTAGGTACCCCGATGTTACAAGCTAAATTGCTCTGAGAATAACCTGTCAGAAAAAATATACAATGCCATTTTCTACTCTTTTTTGTAGTATATACACCAACTCAATATGCTCTCTGATGTAAAATACTGAAATTCTAATGTTAGGCGAATACAAAAAAATTTAAATATTATCTAGGTACCCCAATGTTAAAAGCAAAATTGCTCTGAATATAATCTGGCATAAAAAATATACAATGCTTTTTTTTACTCTGTGTTTGGAGTATATACACCAAGCCAATATGCTCTCTTATGTCAAATATTGAAATTCTAATTATACGCAAATAGAAAAAATGATAAATATTATCTAGGTACCCCAATGTTAAAATCAACATTGCACTGAATATAATCTGTCAGAAGAAATATACGGTGCCCTTTCCTACTCTGTTTTCGAGTATATACATTAACTCAACATGCTCTCTCCTGTAAAATACCGAAATTCTAATTTCAAGCGAATAGAAAAAAATCTAAATATTATCTATGTACTCTAATGTTAAAAGCAAAATTGCTCTGAATATAATCTGTCAGAAAAAATATACAATGTTTTTTTCTACTCTGTTTTGGAGTATATACGCCAACTCTTTATGCTCTCTCATGTAAAATACCAAAATTCTAATTTTGCGAGAATAGAAATAAATCTAAATATTATCTAGGTACCCCAATGTTAAAAGCAAAATTGCTTTGAATATAATCTGTCAGACAAAATATACAATGCTTTTTTCTACTCTGTTTTAGAGTATATACGCCAACTCAATATGCTCTCTCATGTAAAATATCAAAATTCTAATTCTACGCAAATAGAAAAAAATCTAAATATTATCTAGGTACCCCAATGTTAAAAGCAAAATTGCTCTGTGTATAATCTGTCAGAAAAAATATACAATCCATTTTTCTACTCTGTTTGGAGCATATAAACCAACTCAATATGCTCTCTCATGTAATATACCGTAATTCTAAATTTCTGCAAATAAAAAAATATATAAATATAATCCAGGTACCTTAATGTTAAAAGCAAAATTGCTCTGAATATAATCTGTCTAGACAAAATATACGATGTCCTTTTCTACTCTGTTTTGGAGTATATACACCAACTCAATATGCTCTCTCATGTAAAATACCGAAATTCTAATTTCACGCGAATAGAAAAAAACCTATATATTATCTAGGTACCCCAATGTTAAAAGTAAAATTGCTCTGAATATAATCTGTCAGAAAAAATATTCAATGCTTTTTTCTACTCTGTTTTGGAGTATATACCCCAAATCAATATGCTCTCTCATGTAAAATACCGAAATTTTAATTTTACTCGAATAGAAAAAAATCTAAATATAATCTAGATACCCCAATGTTAAAAGCAATATTGCTCTGAATATAATCTGTCAGAAAAAATATACAATGCCCTTTTCTACTTTGTTTTGGAGAATATACACCAACTCAATATGCTCTCTCATGTAAAATACCGAAATTGTAATTTTACGCGAATAGAAAAATGTATAAATATTATCTAGGTATCCCATAAAAGCAAAATTGCTCTGAATATAGTCTGTGAGAAAAAATATACAATGCCCTTTTGTACTCTGTTTTGGAGTATATACACCAACTCAATATGCTCTCTCATGTAAAATACCGAAATTCTAAATTTATGTGAATAGAAAAAAATATAAATATTATCTATGTACCCCAATGTTAAAAGCAAAATTGCTCTGAATATAGTCTTTCAGAAAAAATATACAATGCCCTTTTGTACTCTGTTTTGGAGTATATACACCAACTCAATATGCGCTCTCATGTGAAATATTGAAATTCTAATTTTACGCGAATAGAAAAAAATCTAAATATTATCTAGGTACCCCAATGTTAAAAGCAAAATTGCTCTGAATATATTCTGTCAGAAAAAATATACAATGCCCTTTTCTACTCTGTTTTGGAGTATATACACCAAGTCAATATGCTCTCTCATGTAAAATATTGAAATTCTAAATTTACATGGTTACAAAAATATATAAATATTATCTATGTACCCCAATGTTAAAAGCAAAAGTGCTCTGAATATCATCTGTCAGAAAAAATATACAATGCTTTTTTCTACTCTGTTTTGGAGTGTATACACCAAGTCAATATGCTCTCTCATGTAAAATACAGAAATTCCAATTTTATGCGAATAGAAAAAAATCTAAATATTATCTGAGTACCCCAGTGTTAAAAGCAAAATTTCTCTGAAGATAATCTGTTAGAATATATATACAATGCCCTCTTCTACATCCTTTTGGAGTATATACACCATCTCAATATTCTCTCTCATGTAAAATACCGAAATTCTAATTTTTCACGAATAGATAAAAATATCAATATTATCTATGTACCCAAATGTTAAAAGAAAAATTGCTCTGAATATAATCTGTCAGAAAACATAAAAAATGCCCTTTTCTATTATTTTTTGTAGTATATACACCAACTTGATATGCTTTTTCATGTAAAATACCGAAATTCTAATTTTACATTAATATATAAAAATATAAATATTATCTATGTATCCCAATGTTAAAAGCAAAATTGCCCTGAATATAATCTGTCATAAAAAATATACAGTGCCCTTTTCTACAATTTTTTGGAATATATACACCAACTCTATATGCTCTCTCATGTAAAATACCGAAATTCTAATTTTACTCGAATAGAAAAAAATATAAACATTATCTATGTACATCAATGTTAAAAGCAAAATTGCTCTGAAGATAATCTGTTAGAAATAATATACAATGCCAATTTCTACTGTGTTTTGGAGTAAATACACCATCTCAATGTGCTCTCTCATGTAAAATATTGCAATTCTAATATTACACGTTTACAAAAAAATATAAATATTATCTATGTACCCCAATGATTAAAGCAAAATGCTCTGAAGATAATCTCTTAGAAAAAACATACAATGCCTGTTTCTACATTCATTTGGAGTATATACACCATCTCAATATTCTCTCTCTTGTAAAATACCGAAATTTAAATTTTACGCGAATAAATAAAAATATAAATATTATCTAGGTACCCCAATGTTAAAAGCAAAATTGCTCTAAATATAATCTGTCAGAATAAATATGCAATGCCCTCTTCTGCTATTTTTTGGAGTATATACACAAACTCAATATGCTCTGTCATGTAAAATACCAAAAGTCTAATTTTACGGGAATGGAAATCTAAATATTATCTAGGTACCCCAATGTTAAAAGCAAAATTGCTCTAAATATAATCTGTCAGAATAAATATGCAATGCCCTCTTCTGCTATTTTTTGGAGTATATACACAAACTCAATATGCTCTCTCATGTAAAATACCAAAAGTCTAATTTTACGCGAATGGAAATCTAAATATTATCTAGGTACCCCAATGTTAAAAGCAAAATTGCTCTGAATATAATCTGTCATAAAAAATATGCAATGCCCTTTTCTAATATTTTTTGGAGTATATACACTAACTCAATATGCTCTCTCATGTAAAATACAGAAATTCTAATTTTACGTGAATAGAAAAAATATAAATATTATCTATGTACCCCAATGTTAACAGCAAAATTGCTCTGAAGATAATCTGTTAGAAAAAATATACAATGCCGTTTTCCACTTTTTTTTGGAGTATATACACCATCTCAATATGCTCTCTCATGTAAAATATTGAAATTCTAAATTTACGCACTTACAAAAAAATATAAATATTATCTATGTACCCCAATGTAATAAGCAAAATGCTCTGAAGATAGTCTGTTAGAAAAAATATACAATGCCCTTTTCTACATTCTTTTGGAGTACATACACCATCTCAATATTCTCTCTCATGTAAAATACCGAAATTCTAATTTACGCGAATAGAAAAAAATATAAATATTATCTATATACCCCAATGTTTAAAGCAAAATTGCTCTGACGATAGTCTGTTAGAAAAAATATACAATGCCCTTTTCTACTTTTTTTTGGAGTATATACACCATCTCATGTACATTTATATTATGTATTACCTGTGCATTGTGATTTTATAATCTGTTGTGATTATAGTATATCGTTGTGGTGTTAGAATAAATGTACATATTGTACAGATTTTGGACATATCTATTGTGTACACTTGTATGCATATAATTGTCCATATTGTATAGATTATGTAAATTTATTATACCTCTGTATTGTGTACACTTATGCCCATCACAGTCAATTTACATGTGGTACATATTCTGTTAATTGCTTGTAATATACAAATAAGTGTACACATCATGAGTATATCCTGAGATATGATTGTTAGTATATTAGATAAAAATTACTTCCAATATCAAAGTGGGTATACACATATGTGTGTCAATTTCGTGGTATTATCCATCATATCCTAAGTAGGTATTACTCTCATTGTGATAGCAAGTGTACACTCTGTGATTGTTCCAATATCACAGGCAAAGTAAAACGCTTCTGTGATGTAGTTAATCATATCCGAGAGACCAAGGATTACCATACACTGAATATCGCAGGCAGTATACACACCACTGTGGTATCGTTTCTAATATTCAAAAACTTAAAAGATATTACTCCAAATATCTCAGAGAGAGCACAAGCTCCCCGTGATATTTTTCCTAATAACTAGGGGATTATACATGACATTACTCACGATGTGACTGGGGTTGTATGCTGGTCCTTGGATATTGTTTCTAATATCCAGAGGAGGAGAGGAAACTGTTGCTGCTTATATGGAAGTACTCCGAATATGGCAGGAAGTGTACACCATGCTCTGATAGGGTCACTAATGTAAATAAGGAAACAATTGTATTGAATTAAACATTGCAAGGGTGAAACACCCCTATGCTTTCAATTCTAATGTCAAGGAAGGTGAGGATGACACTTTTGTCAATATAGCAGAGGTGTAACTATAGCTACTGCCTAATAGAAAAACAGAATAACATTATCATTTCTGTATGATTTGGTCGCCAGTATCATATAAAACCACATTTACAAATTAGCTGGGCCACAGCAGCTGTACGCATAGCCACCAAGCTAGGGGGTCCCAAAGCAACCAGGGTTTGCCTGGGGCCTGAGACGGGCTCATTGGTGGGGGATATGGGCACAGCGCTCTATCCAGGGTGTCCCTAAGCAGCCATTCTGGGCCACTGGACTGCTACGGGCACTCTGGCAGAGGCTGTAAGTACAGCCACATAGCCAGGGTGTTTCTAAGCAGCCATGGTGCACCTGGGGTCTACTTCGGGCCCTTTGGTGAAGGCTCAGGGCACAGTCACCTAGTTAGTGTGTCCCTAAGCAGCAGGGTTGGCCTGGGGTCTGCTACATGCTCTCTGGCAGGGCGTGGGACAAAGCCCTTAAGCCAGGGTGTCCCTAAGGTGCCAGGGTGGGCCAGGGGGCTGCTACAGGACCTCTGATGGGGCGGTGGGCACAGCTGTCTAGCCAGGGCATCTGTCAGTAGCCAGGGTGAGACTGGGAGCTGTCACGGGCCCTCTGGTGGAAACTGTGGGTACAGCCTCATAGCCAGGGTGTCTTTAAGCAGCCAGAGGGGGTTATGGGGGATGCTACGATGTGGGCTGTGGTAATAGCATGCTGTGCATAGGTACAGAATTTGCACCTATATCTTCATGTGTACATAGTTTAAATAGTGAGCACATATTGGTACACGTGTACTTATAATGTTAACATAATCTGTATGTACATAATATGTGCAAAACACATATGTACCTCATGTGTGCAATATGTACTCTTCTGTGATACTACACGATATGTATATATTACTGTGATTATATATCTTATTGTGATTATATATATTTTATCACTGATATTTCAAGGAATGTTCATAGTGCACAAATTATGTACCTATGCATTGTATACATATTATACAAATATATAGGTACAGATTTTACAGATTATGTACATTTTGGTAAATGTGCATTGTGTACACATATGTACAGCAGAATAAATGTACAGACGGTACCTACTTTATACATTTATTTCAATATGCCAATAAATGTACATATTCTGAGACCATCTGGGATATTAATTTTAGCATATTAGAAATTCCTCTGGTTACCAAGGGGGTGTACACCCATGTGTGTTCATATTTTATACATTTAGATATTATGCATATTATATACTCATGTACAGAATGTACATACTGTGCACACATATGTACATGTGCATATATTGTACATCTGTACATCATGAGTACACGATGTACCTGTGTACATAAGGGGTACATGATTCATTTGTGTACGTACTGGATACATGATGTACATGTGAACATGTGTACATGATATTCATGTGTACATATCAAAATCTTACAATAAATAGAAATGTACATAATGCTTACAATCTGTACATTTATATTCATATATATTACATGTGTTTTTTGATTTGATCTGTTGTCATTACACGATGTCAATATATTACAATAAATGAACATATTGTACACAATATGTACATACTTATCGTGTACACATATGTACACATAAATGTACATTTTGTACAGATTATGTACTCTCATTGTTGATCTGTATTGTGTGCAAATATGTACAGCAGAGTAAATGTATAGACTGTACCTATTTTAAACATTTTTTGCAATACGCCAATAAATTTACACATTATGAGTCCATTCTGGGATATAATTTTTAGCATATTAGATAGAAATTACTCCAGTGACCAAAGTGGGTGTACACCCATGTGTGTACATATTTTATACATGTACATATTGTGCATATTAGGTACTCATGTACAGAATGTACATGTCTACGTTATATGTACATTCTGTGCACACATATGTACATGTGCATATATTGTACATCTGTACATAATGCATGCATGATGTACATGTGTACACATCATCATATCACAATAAGTGTAAATGTACATGTTTTCAATATGTATGTTTACATTGATATTATGTATTACATGTTTATTTGATTACACATGCTGTTGATATAATATCATTGTGATATTACAATAAATGTACATAATGTACACATTATGTTCCTATGCATTGTGTACACATTATAGAAATAGAAAGGAACATATTTGACAGATTTTGTACATTTGTTCTACTTGTGTATTGGGTACATATATGTACAGCAGAGTAAAAGTACAGACTGTACCTATTTTATACATTTATTGTGATATGTCAATAAATGTACACATTATGAGTACAATCTTGGATATTATTTTTAGCATATTAGAACTTCCTCCAGTTACCAAAGTGGGTGTACACCCATGTGTGTACATATTTTATACGTGTACATACTCTGCATATTATATACTTGTGTACAGAATGTACATAATGTGCACACATATGTACACGTGCAAATATTTTACATGTGTACATAATGGATACATGATGTACATGTGTACATACTGTACATGTGAACATAATGACATGATGTTCTTATGTACATATATTACCATAAATGTAAATATACATAATTTTTGCAATATGTACATTTATATTGATAGTATGTATTACATGTGTATTGTGATTTTACATACTCTTGTGATTATATATCATTATGATATTACAATAAATGGACATATTGTACACATTATGTACATAACTATTGTGTACACATTATGTACTTATAATAAATGTTCATATTGTACAGATTATGTACATTTATTGTACATCTGTATTGTGTACGCATATGTAAAGCAGAGCAAATGTACAGACTGTACCAATTTTATACATTTCTTGGGATACGCCAATAAATGTACACATTATGAGTACATTCTGTGATATAATCTTTAGCATATTAGATAGAAATTACTCTGATGCCCAAAGTGGGTGTACATCCAGGTGTGTACATAGTTTATATGTGTACATATTGTGCTTATTATGTACTCGTATATAGAATGTACATGTCTACATTATATGTACACGTGCATATATTGTATTTCTGTATATAATGGGTGCAGGATACACATGTGTACACATCATATCACAATAAATGTCAATGTACATAATGTTTGCAATATATACGTTTATATTGATATTATGTATTACATGTTTATTGTGATTATATATGCTGTTGTGATTGATATCATTGTGATATTACAATAAATGTACATATTGTACACATTATGTACCTCTGCATTGTGTACACATTATAGAAATATAAAGGAACATATTTTACAGATTATGTACATTTTCTCTACTTGTGTATTGAGTACACATATGTAAAGCAGAGTAAAATACAGACTGTACTTATTTTATACATTTATTTTGATATGCCAATAAATGTATGCATTATGAGTACATTCTGGGATATTACTGTTAGCACATTAGATAGAAATTACTTCAGTTATCAAAGTGGGTGTACACGCATGTGTGTACATAGTTTATGCATGTACATACTGTGCATATTATGTACTCATTTACAGAAGGTACATATCTACATTATATATACATATGTGCACATAGTGTACATATGTACATACTGCACACATAAATACACATGCATTCATTGTACATTTGTGCATAATGGGTACATGTACATGTTCACATATTGTAATATCACAATTAATGTAAATGTATATGTGTGCAATATGTAAGTTTATATTATGTATTACCTGTGTATTGTGATTTTATAAGCTGTTGTGATTATATCATATCATTGTGGGATTACAATAAATGTATATATTGTACACATTATGTAGATATGTATTGTGTACACATTCTGTACATATAATTGTTCATAATGTACAGATTATGTACAATTATTATACATTTGTATTGTGAACACATATGTCCATCACAGTCAATGTACATGTGGTACATATTCTATGCATTGTTTGTAATATCCCTATAAATGTACACATCATGAGTGTATTCTGGAATATGATTTTTAGTATATTAGTTAAAAATTACTTCCAACATCAAAGTGGGTGTACACACCTGTGTCCATTTCCTGATATTATCCATCATATCCTGAGTAGGTATTACTTTCACTGTGAAAGCAAATGTACACTGTGTGATTGTTCCAATATCACATGCAAAGTAAAACGCTTCTGTGATGTAGTTAATCATATCCTGGGGACAAAGGATGACCATACCCTGAATATCGCAGGAAGTATACACCACCACTGTAGTATTGTTTCTAATATTCAAAAACTTAAAGGATATTACTCCAAGTATTTCACAGAGCGAACAAGCCCCCCGTGATATTGTTCCTAATAACTAGCGGATTACAGGTGACATTACTCACGATGTGACTGGGGCTGTACGCTGGTCCTGGGATATTGTTCCTAATATCCAGAGAAGAAGAGGAAAATGTTGCTGCCCATAGGGAAATACTCTGAATACGGCAAGAGGTGTACACCATGCTCTGATATGGTCACTAATGTAAGCAAGAAAACAATTACTTCAAATGGCAGTAACCCTAAATTTAAGCCGACTGATTTCCCAAACAAAAGATAGAGCCAAAACCTAATGATATGCTACATACAGACCCATTTTACATCCAAAGATATACAAAGACTTAAAACAAAGGGATGGAGAAAGATTTACCAACCAAATGGAAAGCAAAATAAATAAATAAATAAAAGCAGGAGTTGCAATTCTTGCATTTGGTAAAATAGATTTCAAAGCAACAAAGATAGAGTGGTAAGAGGATCAATGCAACAATAAGAGCTAATGATTTTAACACCCAGATACATAAGACTCATAAAGAGATTTAGAGTCAACGAGACAGAAAATTAATAAGGATATCCAGGACTTGAACTCAGATCCGGAACAAGTAAACTCAATAAATATTTATAGAGCTCTCCATTTTAAACACACAAAATATACATTCTCCACCTTAAATACACAAAATATTGATCGACCATTATTAATATCCATTTTTAGAATAAAGCAATATTTCCGTTCTCTCTCCCTCTTTCTCTTTCTCTTTCTTTCCTTTCTTAACTCCTTTTTTCTTTAAAATCAAAATAAAGATTCTGTCCCGCTAATTCTTTCAAAATAATTAAAAAAAAAACAATTATACTGAAATAGGCATTGCAAAAGGTGAAACCCCCTATGCTTCCAATTCTAATGTCAAGGGTGGTGAGAATGACATTTTTTTCAATATGGCAGAGGTGTAACTAGAGCTATTGCCTAATATATAAGAAAACAGAATAACATTTTCACTCCCATATGATATGGTCGCCAGTGTCATATTATACCACATTTTCAAAATAGCTGGGCCCCAGCAAATGTGGGTATAGCTGCCAAGCTAGTGTGTCCCTAAGCAACCAGGGTGTGCCTGGGGCCTGCTACAAGCTCGTTGGTGGGGTCTGTGAGCACAGCTCCCTAGCCAGGGGGTCCCTAAGCAACCATGGTGGGCCTTTGGGCCACTGCGGGTACTCTGGTGGGGGCTGTGGGTACAAACACATAGCCAGGGTGTCCCTAAGCAACCATGGTGGGCCTGGGGTCTACTACGGGCCCTCTGGGGGGGTCTGGGCACAGTCACCTAGTCAGGGTGTCCCTAGGCAACAGGGTGGGCCTGGGGGCTGCTACATGCCCTCTGGCAGGGCCTTGGACAAAGCCCCCTAGCCAGGGGGTCCCTAAGACACCAGGGTGAACCTGCGGGCTGCTTAGGGACCTCTTACATGGCTGTGGGCACAGCTTTTTAGCCAGGGAGTCTGTAAGCAGCCAGGGTGTGCCTGGGAGCTGTTATGGGCTCTCTGGCAGGGGCTGTGGGCAGAGCCCCCTAGCCAGGGTGTCTTTCAGCAGCCAGGGTGTGCGTGGGGGATGCTACAAGGGGGGCTGTTGTAATAGCGTGCTGTGCTTAGGTACATAGTTTGCACCTATATCTGCATATGTACATATTTTAAATAGTGGGCACTTATTTGTACACATATACATATAGTGTTATCATGATAAATATATATGTGCATAATATGTGCACAATACATATGTACCTAATGCATACCAAATGTGGGCATTATGTACTCTTTTGTGATAGTACACAATATGTATGTATTACTGTGATTATATATCTTATTGTGATTATATATATTTTACCACTGATATTTTAAGAAATGTTCATAGTGCACATATTATGTACCTATGCACTGTGCACATATTATAGAAAACTATAGGAACATATTTTACAGATTATATACATGTGCATTGTGTACACATATGTACAGCAGAGTAACTCTACAGACTGTATTTTATACATCTATTGCAATATGCCATTGAATGCACACTTTATGAGTACAATCTCGGATATTAGTTTTAGCATATTAGAAATTCCTCTGGTTACCAAAGTGGGTGTACACCCATGTGTGTACATATTTTATACATGTACATATTGTGTATATTATATACTCGTGTACAGAATATACATACCGTGCACACATATGAACCCGTGCATATATTGTACATCTGTACATAATGGGTACATGATGTACATGTGTACATATTCGGTACATGATGTACATGTGTACATACTGGGTAAATAATGTACATGTGAACATGATGTGCACATGATGTTCTTGTGTACATATCGTAATATTACCATAAAAGTAAATGCACATAATTTTTGCAATCTTTACATTTAAATTGATATTATATATTACACGTGTATTGTGATTTTATATGCTGTTGTGATTATATCATTGTGGTATTACAACAAATGTACATATTGTACACATTTTGTACATACCTATTGTGTACACATTGTGTACATATAATTGTAAATATTGCAGATTATGTACATTTATTGCACATCTGTATTGTGTACACATATGTCCATCACAGTCAATGTACATATGGTACATATTCTGTGCATTGCTTGTAATATCCCTATAAGTGTACACATCATGAGTATATTCTGGAATATGATTTTTAGTATATTAGATAATAATTACTTCCAAAATCAAAGTGGGTATACACACATGTGTGTCCATTTCGTGATATTATTCATCGTATCCTAAGTAGGTATTACTCTCATTGTGAAAGCAAGTGTACACTCTGTGTTCCAATATCACAGGCAAAGTAAAACGCTTCTGTGTTGTAGTTAATCATATCCTGGGGACAAAAGATAACCATACCCTGAATATCGCAGGAAGTGTACACCACCACTGTAGTATTGTTTCTAATATTAAAAAACTTAAACATATTACTCCAAATATCTCAGAGAGCACCAAGCCCCCCGTGATATTGTTGCTAATAACTAGGGGATTACAGATGACATTACTCACGATGTGACTGGGGCTGTATCCCGGTCCTGGGATATTGTTCCTAATATCCAGAGGAGGAGAGGAAAATGTTGCTGCCCATAGGGAAATACTCTGAATACGGCAAGAGGTGTATACCATGCTCTGATATGGTCACTAATGTAAACAAGAAAACAATTATATTGAATTAAACATTGCAAGAGGTGAAACACCCCTATGCTTTCAATTCTAATGTCAAGGGATGTGAGGATGACATTTTTTTCAATATGGCAGAGGTGTAACTAGAGCTGTTGCCTAATATATAGAAAAACAGAATAACATTGTCATTTCCATATGATATGGTCGCCAGTATCATATTACACCTAATTTTCAAAATAGCTGGGCCCCAACAGCTGTGGCCATAGCTGCCAAACGAGCGGGTCCCTAAAAAACTGGGTGTCCTGGGGCCTGCTACGGGCCTGACGGTGGGGGCTGTGGGCACAGTGCCCTAGCCAGAGTCCCTAAGCAGCCATGGTGGGCCATCGAGCTGCTGCAAGCACTGTGGTGGGGACTGTGGGTACAGCCACATAGCCAGGGTGTCTCTAAGAAGCCATGGTGTGCCTGGGGTTGACTACGGGCTTTCTGGGGGGAACTGTGGGCACAGTCACCTAGTCAGGGTGTCCGTAAGCAGCAGGGTGGGCCTGGGGGGTTGCTACGTGCCCTGTGGCAGGGTCTTGGACATAGTCCCCTAGCCAGGGTGTCCCTAAGATGCCAGGGTGGACCTGGGGGCTGCTACAAGACCTCTGATGTGGCTGTGGGCACAGCTTTTTAGCCAGGGGATTCTTAAGAGGGCAGGGTGGGCCTGGGAGCTGTTACGGGCCCTCTGGCTGGGGTGGTGGTCACAGTCCCTATGACAGGGTGTCTTTAAGCAGCCAGGATGGGCCTGGAGGCTGCTACGAGGTAGGCTGTGGTAATAGCATGCCATGCATAGGTACATAGTTTGCACCTATTTCTACATGTGTACATAGTTTATATAGTGGGCACATATTTGTACATGTGTACATAGACTGTTATGATAAATATATATCTACATAATATGTGCACAATACATACGTGCCTAATGCATACCTAATGTGTGCAGTATGAACTGTTTTGTGATACTACATTATATGTATATATTACTGTCATTATATATCTTATTGTGATTATATATATTTTATCACTGATATTTTAAGGAATGTGCATCGTGCACACATTATGTACCTATGCATTGTGTACACATTATAGAAACATATAGGTACATATTTTACAGATTATGTACATGTTTTGAACATGTGCATTGTGTACACTTATGTACAGCAGAGTAAATGTACAGACTGTACGTATTTAATACATTTATTGTGATATGCCAATAAATGCACACATTATGAATAATATCTGGGATATTATTTTTAGCATATTACAAATAACTCCGGTTACCAAAGTGGGTGAACACCCATGTGTGTACATATTTTATGTGTGTGTACATATTTTACGTGAGCATAATATATACTCGTGTACAGAATGTACATATGTACATTATATGTACATGTGTATGTAGTTTACACATGTGCATACTGTGCACACATATGCACCCGTGCATATATTGTACATCTGTACATCATGGGTACATGATATACATGTGTAAATAATGGGTACATAATGTACATGTGTACGTACTGGGTACATAATGTACAGGTCAACATAATGTGTACATGTTCATAGGTACATATCGTAATATTACAATAAATGTAAATGTAAATAATGTTTGCAATTTGTACATTTATTTTGATATGTATTACATGTTCATTGTGACTTTATATGCTGTTGTGATTATATATTATTTTGGTATTACAATAAATGTACATATTGTATACATTATGTACATACCTATTGTGTACACATTGTGTACATATAATTGTACACATTATGTACATACCTATTGTGTGCATGCTGTGTACATATAATTGTACACGTTATGAACATACCTATTGTGTACATATTATGTACATGTAATTGTTCATATTGCACAGATTATGTCCATTTATTGTACATCTGTATTGTGTACACATATGTCCATCACAATGTACATATGGTACATATTCTGTGCATAGTTTGTAATATCCCAATAAGTGTACACATCATGATTATATTCTGGAATATGATTTTTAGTATATTAGTTAAAAATTACTTTTAATATTAAAGTGGGTATACACACATGTGTGTCCATTTCGTGATATTATCCATCATATCCCGAGTAGGTATTACTCTCATTGTGAAAGCAAGTGTACACTCTGTGATTGTTCCAATATCACAGGCAAAGTAAAACGCTTCTGTGATGTAGTTAATCATATCTGAGGGACAAAGGATGACCATACCCTGAATATCGCAGGAAATGTACACCACCACTGTAGTATTGTTTCTAATATTAAAAAACTTAAACATATTACTCCAAATATCTCAGAGAGCACCAAGCCCCCCATGATATTGTTCCTAATAACTAGTGGATTACAGATGACATTACTCTTGATGTGACTGGGGCTGTACGCCGGTCCTGGGATATTGCTCCTAATATCCAGAGAAGGAGAGGAAAATGTTGCTGCCCATAGGGAAATACTCTGAATGCGGCAAGAGGTGTATACCATGCTCTGATAGGGTCACTAATGTAAACAAGAAAACAATTGTATTGAACTAAACATTGCAAGGGGTGAAACACCTCTATGCTTTCAATTCTAATGTCAAGGGGGGTGAGGATGACATTCTTTTCAATATGGCAGAGGTGTAACTCGAGTTATTGTCTAATATATAAAAAAAAGAATAACATTATCATTTCTGTATGATATGGTCGCCAGTATCATATTACACCACATTTTCAAAATAGCTGGGCCCCAGCATCTGTGTGCATAGCCGCCAAGCCAGGGGTTTCCTAAGCAACCAGGGTGTGCCTGGGGCCTTCTATGGGCCTGTTGGTGGGGGCTGTGGTTACAGCGCCCTAATCAGGTTGTCCCGAGGCAGCCATGGTGGGCCTGTGGGCTGTTATGGGCACTCTGGCTGGGGCTGTGTGTACAGCCTCTTAGCCAGGGCGTCCCTAAGCAGCCATGGTTGGTCTGGGGTCAACTATGGGCCCTCTGGGTGTGGTTCTAGGCAGAGTCACCTTGTCAGGGTGTCTGTAAGCAGCAGGATGGGCCTGGGGGCTGCTAGGTGCTCTCTGGCAGGGCCTTGGACAAAGCCCCTTACCCAAGGGGTCCCTCAGACGTCAGGGTGGGCCTGGGGGCTTCTATCGGACCTCTGGCGGGCGGTGGGCACAGCTTTCTAGCCAGGGGTTCCGTAAGCAGCCAGGGCGGGCCTCGGAGCTGTTACGGGCCCTCTGTTGGGGGCTGTGTTCACAACCCCATAGCCAGGGTGTCTTTAAGCAGCCATGGTGGTCCTGGGGGCTGCTACAAGGGGGGCTGTGGTAATAGCGTGCTGTGCATAAGTACTTAGTTTGCACCTATTTCTACATGTGTACATAGTTTATATAGTGGGCACATATTTGTACATGTGTCCATATGGTGTTATCATGATAGATATACATGTACATAATATGTGCACAATACATATGTACCTAATGCATATATAATGTGTGCAATATGTACGCTTCTGTGATAGTACACAATATGTATACATTACTGTGATTATATATCTTGTCATTATATATATTTTATTACTAATATTTTAAGGAATGTGCATAGTGCACACATTATTTACCTATGCATTGTGTACACATTATAGAAATATAAAGAAACATTTTATAGATTATGTACATTTTTTGTACATGTGCATTGTGTACACATGTACAGCAGAGTAAATGTACAGACTATACCTATTTTATACATTTATTGCAATATGCCAATAAATGTACACATTATGAGTACAATCTGGGATATTATTTTTAGCATATTAGAAATGTCTCCGGTTATCAAAGTGGGTGTACACCCAAGTGTGTACATATTTTGTACCTGTACATATTGTGCATATTATGTACTCATGTACAGAATGTACATACTGTGTACACATATGTATATGTGCATATATTGTACATCTGTACATAATGGGTACATGATGTATATGTGTACACATCATCATATGACAATAAATGTACATACATGTTTGCAATATGTACATTTATATTGATATATTTTACATGTTTATTGTGATTATACATGCTGTTGAGATGATACCATTTTTATATTACAAAAAATATACATATTGTACACGTTATGTACCTATGCATTGTGTACACATTATAGAAATAGAAAGGAACATATTTTATAGATTATGTACATTTTTTCTACTTGTGTATTGGGTACACATATGTACAGCAGAGTAAATGTACAGATTTTACTTATTTTATACATTTATTGTGATATGCCAATAAATGTACACATTATGAGTACATTCTGGGATATTTCTTGTAGCATATTAGATAAAAATTACTTCCTATATGAAAGTGGGTATACACCCATGTGTGTTCATTTTGTGATATCATCCATCATATCCTAAGTAGGTATTTCTCTCATTTTGAAAGCAAGTGTACACTCTGTGATTGTTCCAGTATCACAGGCAAAGTACAAGGCTTCTGTGATGTACTTCCTATTATGCTCAGACAAAAATGATTCCTGAATATCACAGGAAGTGTACCCCACCACTGTAGTATCATTTCTAATATCCGAAAACGGAAAGGATATTACTCTAAGTATCTCATAAAGCGCACAAGACCCCCGTGATGTTGTTTTTAATAACTAGGGGATTACAGACATGATATGACTGCGGCTGTTTGCCGGTCCTGTGATATTGTTTCTAATATCCAGAGAAGGAGAGGAGAATGTTTCTGCCCATAGGCAAATCCTCTGAATACGGCAAGAGGAGTACAACGTGCTGTTATATGGTCACTAATGTAAACAAGAAAACAATTATATTGAATTAAATATTGCAAGGTGTTAACCCCCCCTATGATTTTAATTCTAATTTCAAGGGGGGTGAGGATGACATTTTTGTCTAAATGGCGGAGGTGTAACTACAGCTATTGCCTACTATATAATAAAAAAGAACAAAATTATCATTTACATATGATATGGTTGCCAGTATCATATTAAACCACATTTTCAAAATAGCTGGGCCCCAGCAGCTGTGGGCATAGCAGCCAAGCGAGGGTGTCCCTATGCAACCAGGTTGGGCTTTGGGGCTGCTACGGGC